TGTGGGTATTGTATTGCAAGTATCACGTCGCGTTGCATGATGCATGCAACGCAACGCATTTGGGTTGGTTGGGGTCTCTGTTCCTCCGTCTCTTCCCTCATCCGCTTCTCCCCTCCTCCGTTTTCTGCCTTCTCCGTTTTCTGCCTCCTCTTTTTCTCGTCTCCACAGTTTCATCCCGAGAGCATCGGCACGTCATTTGGGCGGCAACTGCTGAAAAACTTTAAGGCTCTTGCAGTGAGGGCGATTAGGGAGAGGGGGAGGCAGAGCGAAGAGAGGGAGAGGGGAGAAGGGCGAGAGAGGAGCAAAGAATGGGAGAGGGTGAGGGAGACAGGAGTTGACGTGGGGGCCATGAGCCGAAATGGTTCTGCCAAGATAGCTGTAGGAGCAGCAGCAGCATCAGCAGCAGCGCCGCCAGCAGCAACAACGGAAGTAGCAGAAACATTAGAAATATGTGCAGTGGGGGCAGCAACAGGAGGTGGGGCGTTGCGTTCGCAGCTTGATTTGATGGCGCGGGTAAGTATCGCGACCAACTGCACCCTCTCTGTCATCCGCTCTCCTCCAACTTCTAAGTCGACTCAAAGCACACCTTGTGGGTCGACTCAAAAGCACACGCACACCTATCTAGTCAACGCAAAGCACACTTTTGAGTCTACTAGAAACGCAACTAGATTTGATGGCATGGGTAAGCATTGCGACAGTTGCAATCTCAGGTTCTATGCCATCTCTTACATGCTCTCCCTCCAAACCTGAGTGCACCCTGTCTGGTGGCTACCCCGTTCTTGTCATCCACTCACTACGCGTATACTCTACACGAGAATCTCACTATCAAAGCCAAGAAAGGTAAAGCAAGGCTCTCTACTCTCTTTCTACCGAAACGGGTTCACTCCTGGTTTTAATCAAAACCTTCAGTCCATCTATTCTGGGATTGTGCTGTGCTTGCAATGCATTTCCACTATTGTTGACCGTGAAGATTCAGTCTCAAAGGCAAGAGATTTCGACTCAGAGCTGTATGCTCTCTTTTTGCCGCACAAGTGCGATGCCCTTATTACTTTCCCATTACATGCATCTCATGCCATTACATGCATCTCATGCCATTACATGCATCTCATGCCATTACCATTGCCTTCCCTGCTCTCCACCCCCTATCTGCCGCCCAGCTGTGTGTGCCGGCCAGAGACGGCTCTATGGTGTGCGGCAGAGACATGGATCTGGGCGGCAGAGACATGGATCTGGGTGGCAGAGACATGGATCTGGGCGGCAGTGACATGGATCTGGGCGGCAGAGACATGGATCTGGGCGGCAGAGACATGGATCTGGGCGGCAGAGACATGGATCTGGGCGGCAGAGACTTGGATCTGGGCGGCAGAGATTCGGGCGGTAATAATGTTGAGGCCACGAGGATGCGACACAAGAGAGGGAATGGTTGGTGGGCTGCATCTTCTACGGGGCTGCCACCATCGTTACTAAGCGGATTAATACAGTCATCACCATCAGCATCAGCAGCAACATCATCATCAGAATCAATTTCAGAATCAGCATCAGCAGCAACATCAGCATCATCAACAGTATTCTTCTCCCCTCCAAAACCCCTTGTTCTGAAAGTAACTCGACTCGACGGATTTCTTCACAGATTGAGTGACGCACTAGCTGCAGCAGCAACACCATCAGCAGCATCATCACCATCACCGTCCGCACCACCATCAGCATCAGCATCAGCATCGTCACGAGCAGCAGCGGCTATCTTCACCCATCTATTCGCCGAACAAGGGGAAAGCTACTCCGACACTTTCTGGCTTGACAGCGCATCCACACACCAGGTGTGTTCCCCTCCACACACACACACACACACACACACACACACACACACACACACACACACACACACACACACACACACACCAGGCCCCTTTCATGCACCATCTGAAGGCCAGCTGGCTAGGATAGAACGGGTGTATTGTCGCCCAGCAAGGGGAGAGACAGCCACTCCGACACTTTCTGGCTTGACAGCGCATCCACACACCAGGTGTGTGCGCTTGCGACAGTAGGTGCCACGAGATAGATGCCCACTAGGTGCCACCAGGTGCGTGTGCTTGTAACAATGCATTCGCACACGGTTCTCCTACATGAGAGCACGAGGGATTCCCTTCTGTTCCTAGCTCACATGTGAACTGCTGGTTACCACTGCCAGTTGACCCTCCGTTCTCCTTCTCTTGCCCTCTATAACTGCCCTCATCATACTGTCTCATCTTCTTTCCATCTGCTCCTTGCAGGGCTTGGCGCGCTTCTCCTACATGGGTGGCCGGGGGGGTCCCCTCTGGTCCAAACTCACGTACCAACTGGCTGCCGAACCTCCTTTGGTAGCCGAACCTCCGCTGGCAGCCGAACCTCGTTTGACAGCAGCACCTCAGTTGCCAGCCGAACGTCCTTTGCCGAGCCACACAGAGAATGGGAGCGGCAAAGGCAGTGCAAGCAACGGCACTAGTAACACTGAACCTGACAGCAGCAACAGCAACAGGGGGCACAGCCCTGCCAGTGGAAATAGTAGCAGCAGTAGGAGTAGCAGCAGTAGCAACAGAAGTGTTAACCCTGACATTAGCAGCAACGATAGCAGTAGAAGCAGCTGTCGCAGCGGCGCGAATACTAACGACAATCGTAACAATGGCAGCAACGGTAGCAGCAGCAGCAGCAACAACAACGGTAGCAGCAGCAGCAGCAGCAACAGCAACAGCAGCAACGGTAGCTGCAGCAGCAGCAACAGCAGCAGCAACAGCAGCAATCGTAGCAGCAGCAGCAGAAGCCAGCCTACATTAAACGGGGGTGTCACATTCGATAGAGTCACGGGCGGCACTCTCCAATTGGAGAGCAGTGAGGGCGATGTGACTATAGTGAAGGAAGGCACATGGGAGGGCGGCATATTCAGCTTTCTCGAAGAGGTGAGCATCTAGGGGCCCTTAACTGCAAGCATGGAGTTGTGTTGTGAAGCTGTGCTTGCAGCATTCAGGCGATGTGATGTGACTATGGTGAAGGAAGGGATGTGGGAGGGTGGCATTTTCAGCTTCCTCAAAGAGGTAAGCTTCCAGGGGCTCTTGGTACATGGTGTTGGGAGGCTGTGCTTGCAGCATTCAGGCAATGTGATGTGACTATGGTGAAGGAAGGGACGTGGGAGGGAGGGTGTCGTCGTTAGATTCCTCGAAGAGGTGAGCTTCTAGGGGCTTCTAAGGCATTGAGTCGTGTCGGGTAATTATAAGGGTAAGTTAACAACCAGGCTTAGTGCCCAGGTATCGCTCATTTTCGATCCCTGCTACCACGTACCTGAGCACTAATCGAAAGGGGAATGGGGATGAGGAATGGGGAAGTGGTGTTCAAGTGGGGAAGAGGAATGGGGATGAGGAATGGGGATGAGGAATGGGGAAGTGGTGTTCAGGCTACTACGTACGCACCCACCCATCCCCATTCCTCACTTCAATCTCCCTCCTCCCCCCACCGACAGCACCTGCAGCAGCACCACAGGAGGCTGCTACTCTACTATCCCTTAATCTTGTCTCCCCCCTCCATCCTCTGTATGCCCTCGCTCGGACTTCCCACCCTTCCCCCCATCAACAGTACCTGCAGCAGCACCAGTGTGCAACCCACCTCACGAGCCCCTCTCTCTTATGATTCTCATTCTTATTCTCAGTTCCTGCTTCTTATCATTCCCTTATCTCCCCACACAACAAACCCCCATCAACAGCACCTGCAGCAGCACCAGTGCGCACCACACGAGGCGGCTGTTCTGCCTTTCGACTTCTGTGGCGGCTGGGTCGGCTATTTTGGGTAAGCCAGTGGATCAGCTATTTTGGGTAAGCCAGTGGATCAGCTATTTTGGGTAGCTCAGTGAGTCGGCTATTATGGTTGGGTAAGCCAGTGGGTTGGCTACTTGGAATATGCCAAAGAATGGGCTGTCTCGAGTAAGCCAGTGGATAGGTTGGGGTCATGACTCGTGCTGCAGTGATGCTTGCTTCGATCGTGCCTTTTCAGGCAAGCCCGTGAGGTGAAGGTCAGATCCTTCCATCCATCCGGCACCTTGCTGTTTAGCCTTGCCTGCAGGTCGAGGTGACTTTTGAATCGACGCAAAACGAGGTGACTTGTGAGTCGACTCACAAGTCACCTCTTTTCAGGTAAGCCCGTGAGTTCAAGGTCAGTTCCTTCCATCCGACGCCTTGCTGTTTATCCTCGCCTGCAGGTCGCTGCTGCAGTTCGTGTTTTGAGACGTCTCAGAACTCGAAAATCGAGACGTCTCAGAACTTGTTTAGCCTTTCCTGCAGGTCGCTGCTGCAGTGCAGGTCGTTGGCTTTTAAGTTGATGGTGTCATGCCTTGTTGTGCATGCTTGCGCGCATGCAGGTACGAGCTGAAGAGGGAGTGCGGTGCAGACCACAACCGCCACAGGTCGCCCTTCCCGGACGCGGCTCTTTTCTGTGTGGACCGATGGGTGGTGCTTGATCATGGGCGAGGGGACGTGTATGTGTGTGCTGTGGAGGAGGGTAGAAGGGGGGAAGAGGGTGGGGAAAAAGAGGAGGAGAGGGGGAAAGATGTGCTTAGAAGTGGGGAAAGAGAGGAGATAGGTGAGGGGAGAGGAGAGGGTAGGAACGAGAGCAGGAGTTGCAGCGGCGGTGGTACAAGTGCCGGTGCGTATGCCGCTCATGTGCTTCGGTGCGGTGCAGATAGGGGAGAATGGGGAGGGGCTGGAGGAGGGGAGGGTGAGAGAGGAGGTGGGGAGACAGCAGGGGGCAGCAGCAGGGATGAAGCAGAGGGGGGGAGTGGAAAGGAAACGGATGGGTGCAGATGGGTGGCAGAGGCGAGTGAGAAGCTGATGGCTTTGGTGGAGAGAGGGGTTTCTGAGGCGAGTGGGGCAGAGGTAGAGGCTGCCACAGAGGCAGTGCATTTGAGAGAAGCTGTAGAAGGGGGCTTTGCAGTACAGTCAGCTGGAGGGAATTCGGCAAGAGCAGATGCCGAGGGCCTCACAGTTCTGTCAGAGCCCCTGGTGCTGGAGAGGTGTAGAGAGCGGTACAAGGCTGATGTAGCGCGGTGCCTGGGGGAGATTGCCAAGGGAGAGAGCTATGAGCTGTGCCTCACCACCCGCCTTGAGAGTGAATCTCAGCCGTCACATCCGCTCGGGGCGTATTTACGGCTGAGGGAGAGGAACCCTGCTCCGTTTGCTGCTTGGATGTGCATGGGTGAGATAAGTCCATACTCCATGAGTGAGGTGGGGGAGCCAAAATTGAGTGACGGAACAGTGCAGTGGGGGAAAGAGGAGGACGAGGGGGAGGGAGTGGGGAAAGAGCCAAAGTTTGTGGGGGAAGAAGAGGAGAACCAGCAGCAGCGGCACGACCACCAACACCACCGCCGCCGCCGCCACCACCAAAACCACTCTGTGCTCCGCTCCCCTTTTGCCCTCTGCTGCTCCTCTCCTGAGCGGTTCCTGCGGGGCGACAGGCACGGCATGCTGTGGGCGAAGCCCATCAAGGGCACTGTGAGGCGGGGGGCGACGGAGGAGGAGGATGAGTGGCTGAAGAGAGAGCTGATGTGCAGGTGAGAAAGAGAAGAGGTAGAGGAGGGAGGGGTTATGGTGACAGGTAGGCACAGCATGCAGTGGGCGAAACCCATTAAGGGCACTGTGAGGTGTGGGGCGACAGCGGAGGATGAGCGGCTGAAGGAGAGCTCTTTCTCAGGTGAGTGTTTAAGAGGTAGAGGAGGGAGGAATCGAGTGCATGTACGTAGAATAGCCATGCTGTGGGCGAAGCCCATCAAGAACACCATGGGGCATGGGGCGACGGAGGAGGAGGAGGAGGAGGAGGAGGAGGAGGAGGAGGAGGAGGAGGAGGAGGAGGAGGAGGAGAAGGAGGAGGAGGAGGAGGAGGAGGAGGAGGAGGAGGAGGAGGAGGAGGAGGAGGAGGAGGAGGAGGAGCAGCGGCTCAAGGGAGAGCAACTGAGTAACACCTGGAGATCATTTCCAATGAAGGGGCTTGAAATTTGTACTTTCTCTTGTTTGCCATGCTCACACCTTTCGTCCAACTTTGTTTTCTCTGATCCTTCCAATTCCTCCCAACCCATCCCAACCACTCCTTTTCTGTCAGTGACAAGGACCGGGCTGAGAACCTCATGATCGTTGATCTTCTCCGGAACGATCTCGGGCGAGTCTCAACCGTCGGATCGGTGCACGTCCCGTCTCTCATGGCCGTTGAATCCTACGCCACTGTTCACCAGCTCGTGAGCACTGTAGCAGCGCAACGCCGCCCGGACCTCTCCCCACTGGCCTGCATCCGGGCGGCGTTTCCGGGCGGCTCGATGACCGGGGCACCAAAGATAAGATCTATGGAGATTCTGGATGAGATTGAAGGGTCGGCGAGGGGACCTTATTCGGGAGCCTTGGGGTTCGTTTCATTTTCGGGCACCTTTGATTTGAATATTGTGATTCGAACGGCTGTGATGGGTGGAGAGCTGGGGGTGGTGTTGGAGAGGGAGGCACGGGCAGGGGAGGATGGGGAGGCAGAGGAGGGAGGAGTGAAGGCCTGGGAAGGGGACGGAGGAGGAGCGAGTGGAGAAGAGGAATGGATAGAGGGTAAGGGGGAGAATGGGGCAAGAAGGGCTGCTGTGGATTGGAAGAGGGCCAGACGAAAGGGCAGGACGATGATTGGAGCAGGAGGGGCGGTGGTGATGTTATCGCAACCAGAGAGTGAGTTTGAAGAGATGGTGCTTAAAGCTAGGTCTCTGGTGAGAGTGCTGCGACCAGATGGAGCTGATGATCTGAACGGGGTGTGATTGGCCAATGTGATCGGGCGATGAGGACGTACGGTATCTGCTTCCTATCTTCACTGGGGTGCGAGATACTGCTTGCCAACACTCATTGGGTGGAGATGTGGAGATTATTTTTCTGGGAGTCTAGGCACTTCACGGTTCATTGTGGCCAAACATGATCCTGACTTCATGGCCACCTTCAAATCTGTATGTTATTATTTTAGGAGCAGATTATCTGGAAGATAGTTACACTCTCGCTGTTGCTATAACGCGAATATTGCTTGCAAGCAGCATATTTCATCCACCTCAGCATCCTCCGCAGACACGTGTAATCTCCTCGAATCTGGCGAGAATTCCGACGAAAGATCACTGGAAGCAGTCCCGTTCACAAATACGGTAACCATGGAAGATTTGCAATGCAATCCCAAATGCGCAGTCAACTTCTCTCTTGACGGTACATCTTTTCGGAGGTCGCGTCCAAACGACTTGCCGAACTGCCTTGGGACCTACCGCGCTTGTTGGCGAACGGATCGTTCATTTCGTTGACGAGTCGTGATCGTTCGTAAATCAGAGTGTACGACGAGCTTGAGCAGGCGTTGCTAATATATAAAAGCTTCGCGCAAGGGAAACTGACCGTCTCACAGGCCTAAAATCTCGTACAAAGAACACGCCTTCAGAAGCAAGACTTGCCCACTCACAGCAGCATCCATGCTTGCGTTCGTGACAACAGCGAAGTCACAGAACAGCTAGACACAGGTTTCACGACCGTGCCTTAGGTTGCAGTGCATGTGACCACACATGGCAGCATCCCTCGTATCGCATGCTCTTTCTCGTTAGAACAATATTTCTCGAAACTTCCGAGATCGAGCTTGGCTGATACTTTTCTTCAACATCTCTTCATTTCGATTTAGGTTCTGCTCCTTGGTCATTCTATGGCTGCCTGCTTTCGCCTAGTTCCGACTGCTACTTGCCGCTTGGTACGCGAACTTACTGACAATCTCACGAACGTTCATTATTAATTAATATTCTTTCCAGCTATTGAAGCTCAGCCTCACTGTGCTGGTTACCTCCTCGTCAATCCAACGCGGCTTATCGTGCGATCACCGCACGATTCGTTGAAAGAATCGCACGGTAACCACGAATTCATCGCACGATTTCGTCCCGTTGCGTGCAGGATCTACAGAATCGTGCCGGAACCACCCTGTGGAGCGGCGTCTCATCTGCGTCATCCACTCCGAAAGCACTCAGGTCCGTGATCGGAACGTGCGTGAACTAAGGGATTCTTTGGGTCCTTTGGAAATGTGGAATCGGACCAGAAGTCACCTCGTCTTGAAAGAACTCAGGTCCGTGATTGGAACGCGCCTGAACCATGGGAGCCTTGTTAGTTAGTAGCTCGTGGAGTTGACTCGGATGTCGCCTGTAAAGAGTGAATGCTTTCCGTCTATTAGCTTCTGCCGCTGGACCCTGTAGTTGTTCCACCCCTTTTCTCAGCCGTTGCTGCTCCCTCACTCCCTTGACGGCGTACCGTTTAGCTATCCGTTTCTCTCTGTTGCTCGCTGCACCTTGTGCAACTGTAGCAGCTCCACTCAGTTCCTGGACTCCTCTCTCCTCCTGCACTCCCTTGGCGTCGCACGTTGAGACGTTTCAGTCGCTTATTCCTTGTGTTTGTTGTCTGCTGCATCTTGTGCAACTGCAGATCAGCCCACTTCCTCAGCTCCTCACTGCTTCTGCACTCGCTCGGCGGCGAAGGCGCGTGGTCCAGACAAGCAAGCAACGCGCGCCGTCGCTCCTGCAGCACGATCGTCCACGCCATGGCTGCAGGTACTGCGTGTGGTGCTGAAGTGATGGGTGGGGTGTGGTCCAAGCAAGCAAGCAGCGCGAGCCGTGCGCAGCGCCGCTCCTGCAGCACGATCATCCACGCCGTGGCTGCAGGTACTGCGTGTGGCGCTGCAGCTTCATCCACGCCAGCAGATATGCACGGTGCTGACGTGATGGGTGGGGTGTGGTGTGGTCATGGCAATTTAGTAGCGCGTGCCATGCCGTGCCCATCGCTGCACCTGCAGCACGTTCGTCCACGTCATGGCTGCAGGTACTGCGTGGGGTGCTGAAGTGATGGGTGGGGTGTGGTCATGGCTGCAGGTACTGCGTGGGGTGCTGAAGTGATGGGTGGGGTGTGGTCATGGCTGCAGGTATGCACGGTGCTGAAGTGATGGGTGGGGCGATGCAGCGACTGACGGGAGAGTCAGTTTGTGGTGGTTATTTTCTGCCTCTTTGCGGTGTCATGCAGTCACACTCATACAGTCACACTTATACAGTCACACTCATACACAGTCACACTCATACATAGTCGCACTCATTCACAGTCGCACTCATACATAGTCACACTCATACACAGTCACACTCATACACAGTCACACTCATGCACAGTCACACTCATGCACAGTCACACTCATACAGTCACACTCATACACAGTCACACTCATACGCAGTCACACTCATACGCAGTCACACTCATACACAGTCACACTCATACGCAGTCACACTCATACACAGTCACACTCATACGCAGTCACACTCATACACAGTCACACTCATACACAGTCGCACTCATTTTCACTCGCTCGCACACATAGACACTGGCTATCCCAGTGTGATTCGTCTCTGTCTCTGCCTCCCTTGAAGGAGTGCTGACGGAGCTCTGCCTCGTTGCACACTCATGCACAGTCACACTCATACATAGTCACTCTTATTCACACCCACGGTTGCACTTGGTCACACTCACATTCATGTAAACTTACACTCAGTCATACACACGGTCTTACTCAACTATCACACTCACACTCCCAGTTTCGTTCCTCCTCTGTTTCTGTCGCTACTGTGTTTCCTTCCAGCTGTGCTGGTTGAGAACAGCTGCGTGGTCCCGCTCGCTCAGGCATTCTCACTCCCGCTTGTGCTCGCACTCACACCAAGAAACTCACCTTTACTCTCACACACACTCACATTGGCGCTCACCCGGACACTCAGCCTCAAATGCTACTTCTTTTGTAATGCCTCTCTCTGCTGCTACACCCCGTCGCAACAGCTGTGCTGCCTGAGAACAGCCCCGTGGTCTCCCGTGCCTGGCTTTCACACACACACACACATCGGCTATCAGCCTCGCACTCATCCTCGCAGTGCTGCTTCTACTGTGATGCCTCTCTCTGTCGCTCCCCCTTTCCCAACAGCAGTGCTGCCATATAGCAGCCTCGTGGTCTCCCCTGCGTGGCTGTCACACGCGCTCACAGTGGCACTCACCCCCTTGCACTGATCCTCACAGTGCTGCTTCCGTTGGGATGCCTCTCTCTATTTGCCACCCCCCTTTTTCCAATATCTGTGCTGCCAGAAAACAGCCGCGTGGTCTCTCCTGCCTGGCTGTCACACGCACTCACATTGGCTCTCACCCTCGCACTCATCCTCCCAGTGTTGTTTCCACTGTGATGCCTCTCTCTGTCGCTCCCCCTTCCCAACAGCAGTGCTGCCAGAGAACAGCCCCGTGGTCTCCCCTGCCTGGCTGCATGACAACCTCTCCAAAGTCAAGGTCTGTCTAGTGGGTGGTGTGGTAACATCACGAGGTGGTGGGTGGTGTGGTAGCATCACGAGGTGGCAGGTGGTGTGGTAACATTAAAAGGTGGTGGATGGTGGTGTGGCATCACGAGGTGGCAGGTGGTGGTGTGGCATCACGAGGTGGTGTGCGGCGTGGTAACATCACAAGTTGGTGTTGGTGCAGCTGTATCACGAGAAGGTGTGTGGAGTGGCAGGATTACGAGAAGGTCGGTGGAATGTTATGATTACAAAAACATTGGTGGTGTGGCAGGATATGAGGACCCACCTTCGTCTTTATCTTTTCATGATCTTGCCACCCACATCACCAATCGTCTTGTAATCCTGCTACTCCACCCACTTTCTCGTAATCCTGTCACACCACTCACCTTCTCGTGATCCCAGCACACCATGCACCACCCCGGGATGTTACCACACCACCCACCTGCTTTCTCATCTACCGTTCTGCGGATTCCCTTATCACCGCTGCACCTGTGCAATATACATTCTTTGATGTGATGTAGTGAAGTGGCGCACAATGGTTCGCGTCGTGTGCTGCACATGCACGCGTGCGTGCTGTGATGTCCCCCTCCCTTTTCCCCTTCTCAACCAACCCCTCGAATGGCCAACAGCTGCTAGTCTCCTCGTGGTGCATGCCTGCAAAAAAATGCCCTTCAAACGCTCTTCCCCCACTGCTCAAAGCACCACTTCACATGCTGTCCCCTCCTCCTTTTCAACCCCCAACCCCAACAGGTGCTCGACGCCTCGTGGTACATGCCTGCGAGGAAATGCCGCCTCCTTCAATGCTCCATCCCCACGTCTCAACCCTCCCCTCCTCTTTACCCACCCCACGCCCTCTTCCCCACTCTTAACCCCAGCAGGTGCTCGACTCCTTGTAGTACTTACCTGCTGAGAAGCGCCTTAGCCTACCTGAAAATGCTGTTTCCCCCTCAAAGCTCAATGCCCCACTCCTCGAGTTGACTTTTGAGTCGACTCAAAAGTCAACTCGCTACCTGAAAATGCTGTTTCCCCCGTCAAAGCTCAATGCCCCACTCCTCGCCCAGTTTTCCCTCTGATCGCGCAAACCACACAGGTCCTGGACGCCTCGTGGTACATGCCTGCGGAGAAACGCCTCTCGTTTCACACCTCAGTGCTCAACGCCCCACTTCACATCCTTCCCCCAACCCCAATCCCCCTTTAAACCCCTCACCATCAGGTCCTGGACGCCTCGTGGTACATGCCTGCAGAGAAACGCCTCTCGTTTCACACCTCAGTGCTCAACGCCCCACTTCACATCCTTCCCCCAACCCCACTTCCCCCTTTAAACCCCTCACCATCAGGTCCTGGACGCCTCGTGGTACATGCCTGCAGAGAAACGCCTCTAGTTTCACACCTCAGTGCTCAACGCCCCACTTCACATCCTTCCCCCAACCCCACTTCCCCCTTTAAACCCCTCACCATCAGGTCCTGGACGCCTCGTGGTACATGCCTGCAGAGAAACGCCAGCCGTTTGAGGAGTTTCAGGTGAGGAGTGTCGCTGGTTGGTTGGTTCTGTTCTGTGTGTCACAAAAAGCATCATGAGAAGTATCTGGTCTTGCTGTGCTAATACGTCTATATCTGGTGAGGAGTTTCGAGTGTGGACATGTGAGTAACGCTCTGGATGCTGGGCTGGGAAGAGGAAGAAAGAGGGAGTGGTAGTTGGATGGACAGAGAGAACGTGTTTATGGTTCTGGATAATCAATACGGTTGAGTTTCAGGAGTTTGAGTAGACGGACAGACATATGTCACTGTCTTGCTGCCCTGCTATCTGTTTTTTAATGCCAAAATATTAGATTGAAATGTTCCCCGTGTCGTCCTCTTTTCGTCTCCCTCCCTCTCTCGAGAGCGCAGCATGGGAGGATCCCAGGAGCCATCCTCTTTTATGTTGATGCCATTGCTGAGACGTCTCAAGAAACATCCTCCCTCCTTCTCCCTCCCTGTCTCACGTGCACACTGCGCAGCATGGGAGGATCCCAGGAGCAATCTTCTTTGATATTGACGCCATTGCTGACCCCACCACAGATGTAAGTGCGTCACTTAGTTAAAAAATAAAACGTTAATGTTTGAAGTGCGTCCGGCATTCAGATAAAATCCTATCGTACCACCGCCAGCCCTACACGAATTTGCATTATTTCAAGTCATTCCCCTTGTCCCCATCCGTGTCTCCCACATATTCTATATTGTGTGACAGCTTCCCCACATGCTGCCGACAGAGGCCGCCTTTTCTGCAGCTGCGTCAGCTTTGGGTTTGTCATCTAGTGACAGCATAGTGGTGTACGATGGCAAGGGACTCTTCAGCGCCGCCAGAGCGTGGTGGTGAGTGGTTCAAAGCGGTGACAAGTGGTTGTGTTTAATTTTGGTGGTGCTTCTACTGTGTGTGAGCTGGTCGAAACTGGGTAGGTGTGACATCGCAATTTCTTAGCAATCCTCCCACTTCAACTTTTCCCTGCTTCCCCTGCTGGTTCCCAACGCACACAGATTGTTCCGTGCATTCGGACAGCCATACGTGGCAGTGATGACACCTCGCCTTTGCTCCATCCCCGTCCAGGGCCCTTCCCTTCCCCCCTCCTGCTCCTCCCTTTCCGCTTCCCAACACTCACAGGATGTTCCGTGCATTCGGCCAGCCACACGTGGCAGTGCTGGATGGCGAGAATGACAGAAAGCTCACATCTGCCGCCACTGCTTCTTTCCCCGCCCCCGTCCCTTCCCTTCTTCCTCCCCTTCCTCCTCTTCCTCCTCTTCCATTGTTTCAACGCACACAGGATGTTCCGTGCATTCGGACAGCCACACGTGGCAGTGCTGGACGGCGGGCTGCCAGCCTGGCGGGCGGCAGGTTACCCAGTGGAGGCAGAGCCGTCGGACAAGGCGGCCGGGCGGCACAAGGCGGCTGCTACTGCCATCAAGGACAGTTACTCTACAAAGGTGTGCACTAGTTTACCCAAAGGCGCCTCAAAACGCCTCAAAATGCACTTTTGAGGTGCCTCAAAATGCTCTTTTGAGGCGCCTCAAAATGCTCTTTTGAGGCGCCTCAAAATGCTCTACAAAGGTGTGTACTAGTTTACCCAAAGGTAATTTGGGATCCAGAAGGACAGATACCGCCCTTTTGGCTCGCAAGGCTAAAATCTCCTTACTGGTCCGCCTTCCTTGTACTCTCATTCCCCTCCTAACCTCCTCCCTCCACTCTCTCTTCCATCCAGGTGCATTAAACCGCCTCCTCGCTTTTACACCAAGATCCACTGATGTCCCTTTTTCTGTGTCTGCACCGCCCTCTACCATCCAGGCCGCATCCAACCGCCTGCTCACCTTCAATGCCAAGCTGCAGCCCAACCTCATCCTGTCCGTTGATCAGGTGTGTCTCCCTTGCCCCTTCGTGCCAGATAAGGCTTGCGCCAGTCAATGCCTGCCCCAGTTAATGCCTGCACTGAACTCTGAACCAGGCGATCCTTTCAACGTTTCTTCTTCTGCTTCTTCTCCTCCTCCTTCTTTCATGCACTTCTGCTGTCTGACTGGCAACGTTCTTAAAACCTGCCTGCGGGCCAGCCTAGCAAGCCCAAATTGGTTAAGCCTTCCTAACTTCGGTTGAGTGTGACCCTGGCACCCGGAATCTTGGCCAATTGCATTGCTCGCCCCAACCAACCTTCCTAACGTTGAACTTCTGGGCCCGCGGGCTTTAACCGTTGAATGCCTTCAGGTGAAGGCGAATATCGAGAATAAGGTGTATCAAGTGAGCGATGCCCGCTCTGCTGGCCGGTATGCTGTGGTGGGAAAGGGTGGGGTGGGATGGGGTGGGTCCGCGTGTGCTTTGGTGTGGAGGCTGGGCGCGGTGGGGTGGGGTGAAGGCATGATGAAGTGTCATGGAAATGGTTTGCAGTTGATGGCATGGTGGCAAGGTGGCATGAACTGATATGATGGTGTGGTGGAAATGGTATGCCTCTTAGCTACTTATGTGTGGTTGGTGCTTGCTGCTGTGTATGGCATTGTAACGTGTTACGTTAATAAATTGAAAACTGAAGACCTCTTTTCAGTTTAGCGCCGTAATGGTAACATGCCAAGATGAGAAACTGAAGACTCATCATTGTGTTTAATCCGTAACTGCGTCCAATTCCATGTGTGAATACACCTGCTCTCATATGTACATGTATGTCTGATGTTATACATGCGTGCATGCAGGTTCAAGGGTACAGACCCTGAGCCTAGGGCAGGAGTACGAGGAGGAAGCATCCCAGGAAGCTTCAATGTCCCCTTTCCCGAGGTATAGTTCAGCCGAATGTGAGTCTGCATTCCATTGAACTCATTCGTAGCATAGCAAGAATGGCTCTATCTGGTTAGTTTTGAGGCGCCTCAGAACTCACCTCAATGCTCATTAGAGTCATTCGTAGCACAGCAGGAATCGTTCTATAAGAATTCGTTGAATATAAGCGTTGATTTGACTTCCTTATAGAGATTCATTATAGCTGCTGCTGACCCCACAGGGACAGTTAGAACCTGCCTCAAATCTCACCCAAGCCTTGCAATAGCTACCTGAGTGTTAGCTTCTCTCGCTCTCCTTCTTCCCCCCCACACTGCCCATTGCCACTACCCATTGCCCGTTGCCCATCAGGTCCTGACCCCACGGGGACAGTTAAAGCCTGCCTCAGACCTCACCCAAGCCTTCAAGAGCCACACTCACAAGCATTTTTGAGTCGACTCAAAAGTCACGACAGTTAAAGCCTGCCTCAGACCTCGCCCAAGCCTTCAAGAGCCACACTCACAAGCATTGCTGTGCGCTAGCTTCTCTCACCCTCCTTTCTTCCTCCCCCATTGCTCATTACCCGACGTCCCCCAGGTCCTGACCCCACAGGGACAGTTGAAGCCTGCCTCAGACCCCACCCAAGCCTTGCAATAGGCCATAGCTGAGTGGCTGCTCGTTGTTCCCCCCTGCCCGTTGTCCCTCCAGGTGTTGACCCCTCAGGGACAGTTGAAGCCTGCCTCAGACCTCACCCAAGCCTTCAAGAGCGCAGGCAAGTCCATGCTCGTGATTGGCCGTGGGTAAAAAGGAATAGAGAGGGGAAGAGCAAGAGGAAGAGCAAGGGGCAGAGCAAGGGGAAGAGCAAGGGGTAGAGCAAGGGGAAGAGCAGAGGAAGAGAAAGGGGAAGAGAAAGGGGAATTGGAATTTTCTGGTGCTGTAGCTGCTCGTTTGCTCCATGCTGCCATAACATGGTGGTGACTTCCCTCACACATTCTGTGAGTGCCTCATGGATCCCTTTTCTCGCAAAACTCTCAGAGGCGCCCATTGCTTTGTGAGGACCGCCTGCTTTTGAGACGTCTCAAAAGTCGCATGGATCCCTTTTCTCGCAAAACTCTCTGAGGCGCCCATTGTTTTGTGAGGGCCGCCTGCTTCCCTGCTCTCCCATAACTTCAGCCAGTGGTGTTGCACCTCCCCTTCCTGCCATTTTTGAAGCGCCTCAGAAGCTGGTGTTGCAACAAATCTTCTCCCCCTCCCTGCCATCACACATGGCATACCAGGATAAGGGATAAGGCTCAACTCTTCCCACAGTCGCACCTCCTACGTACCTCGAATTTCACTGCCCCCTCTTACCCATCCCCCAATGACCTCTGCCCTTCCTTACTCTGTTCTGACCTCCTCTTCCTGTGTCAATCTTAGCAGGGGTGGGCGTTAAGGACTCCAAGCAGTCTCTGCAGCCTCCCCCCTGCCCTGCAGCCTCCCCCACGCCCTGCCGCCTCCCACCTGCCCTGCCGCCTCCCCCCTGTCGCCTCCCCCTGCCACCTCTCCCCTGCCCTACCACCTTTCACCTGCCTTTTTTATGTCTCGGTGCTGACCTCCTCTTCCTGTGTCAATCTTTGCAGGGGTGAGCGTTGAGGACCCCAAGCAGCCTCTCGCTGCCTCCTGTGGTACAGGAGTCACTGCATGTGTGCTCGCTCTGGTACGTGCACTGCACCACGCCGCACCACAGCGCACCACGCCGCACCACAGTGCACCACGCCGCACCACAGTGCACCACGCCGCACCACAGTGCACCACGCCGCACCACAGTGCACCACGCCGCACCACAGTGCACCACGCCGCACCACAGTGCACCACGCCGCACCACAGTGCACCACGCCGCACCACAGTGCACCACGCCGCACCACAGCGCACCACGCCGCACCACAGCGCACCACGCCGCACCACAGCGCACCACGCCGCACCACAGTGCACCACGCCGCACCACAGTGCACCACGCCGCACCACAGTGCACCACGCCGCACCACAGTGCACCACGCCGCACCACAGTGCACCACGCCGCACCACAGTGCACCACGCCGCACCACAGCGCACCACGCCGCACCACAGCGCACCACGCCGCACCACAGCGCACCACGCCGCACCACAGCGCACCACGCCGCACCACAGTGCACCACGCCGCACCACAGTGCACCACGCCGCACCACAGTGCACCACGCCGCACCACAGTGCACCACGCCGCACCACAGCGCACCACGCCGCACCACAGCGCACCACGCCGCACCACAGTGCACCACGCCGCACCACAGCGCACCACGCCGCACCACAGCGCACCACGCCGCACCACAGCGCACCACGCCGCACCACAGTGCACCACGCCGCACCACAGTGCACCACGCCGCACCACAGTGCACCACGCCGCACCACAGTGCACCACGCCGCACCACAGTGCACCACGCCGCACCACAGTGCACCACGAAGCGCCACAGTGCACCACGAAGCACCACAGTGCACCACGCCGCACCACAGTGCACCACGCCGCACCACAGTGCACCACGCCGCACCACAGTGCACCACGCCGCACCACAGTGCACCACGCCGCACCACAGTGCACCACGCCGCACCACAGTGCACCACGCCGCACCACAGTGCACCACGCCGCACCACAGTGCACCACGCCGCGCCACAGTGCACCACGCCGCACCACAGTGCACCACGCCGCACCACAGCGCACCACGCCGCACCACAGTGCACCACGCCGCACCACAGTGCACCACGCCGCACCACAGTGCACCACGCCGCACCACAGTGCACCACGCCGCACCACAGTGCACCACGCCGCACCACAGTGCACCACGCCGCACCACAGTGCACCACGCCGCACCACAGTGCACCACGAAGCGCCACAGTGCACCACGAAGCACCACAGTGCACCACGCCGCACCACAGTGCACCACGCCGCACCACAGTGCACCACGCCGCACCACAGCCAGAAGTCGCTGTATGTGTGCTCTCTGTTCCCCCTGGGCTACACTCTGATATTCGCCTTCTCTCCCTCTCTCTCCATACCGCTTTACTATTGCATCTCCTTCCCAACCCCTTCTCTCCCTTATTCAAGGCTCTGGCTCGTCTGGGTTGATGGACGTGACAGATTATGATGGGACATGACGGAATATGACAGCTCGTGGACTCAATAGAGTCTGTTTTTGAGAATTATTAACCACTAGAACCCCTTCTTCTGCACTCCTTCTTCCCCAGGCTCTGCTATTCTATCTATCTTCTCCTTTGCCCCGTTGCTGCAGGCACTGGCTCGTCTGGGTCGGTGGGACGTGCCCGTGTATGATGGCTCGTGGACAGAGAGGGGTAGTGCTCCTTCTGTACCTCGTTTCCCCCACACTCTGCTATTCTCTTCCTTATACCCCCTTCTGCAACTCGTGTTCCTCCGTCTCTGCCCTCCCTCGCTGCAGGCACTGGCTCGTCTAGGGGCGGTGGGACGTGCCGGTGTATGATGGCTCGTGGACTGAGAGGGGTAGTGTTCCTCCTCCTGTAATTTGTGTCCCTCACACTCTGCTATTCACCTCTCTTGACCCTTCTGCACCACGTGTTCTCTCTCCCTGCTGCAGGCTCTGGCTCGCCTGGGGCGGTGGGACGTGCCCGTGTACGATGGCTCGTGGACTGAATGGGGTAGCCTGCAGGACACTCCAGTTGTCAAGGCGGAGTGACAGCATATGGCATTTAAATTCCAATCATGCATGCGTGAAATGGCATGCGTGAAATGGCATGCGTGAAACCCCTCCCACAAAGTTGTGTGATGGATTAGGGTATCCATGTGTCGTGGTGGAGCGGAGTCTTCATGTACACGGTGTGCGGGCACCTTATTAGATGTGCTGTGCCTGTTCGATTTTTGAGTCGACTCAAAAATTCTACATGTACACGGTGTGCGGGTACCTGATTAGATGTGCCTGCCTCTTGGTGGCCATCCTCCCAGCTAGTCACTTCCGGTGAATAGAGGCTGCTTTGATACAGTAGATTGGAGACGTCCTTCCAGACTGTTGGTTCTGTAGCTGTATTGTACCTTATTGGCAAGAAATCGTTGTCCTCTAGAGGGGTTGATGTGTGCTTTTCACTTGATGAGATGTTCTTTCTCCCTCCCTGCCACAGTTGCCTCGCTCGCCACCCAATCAGTGTCGTCACTCGTTAGATGGCATATGGGAAGAGCCCTTGCACCGCCAACCTGAGATGGAATGTTGCTGTGTATCACAGTGAAAGGCAGTGTACGGTAATGGTGTGCTTGACGCTGCAATGCTGTCAACTCAAGCACCATGCACAGACACACACAGACACACACATGCAGGCACCACACAGACACACAGACAGACAGACAGACACCACACACACACACACACACACACACACACACACACACACACACACACACACACACACACACACACAGTGCAATGGAGTGTATCACTTTATCTGGAAGATTAGGAATGCTGATGTGGCAGCATACCGTACTGTACCTACGGTACCCATGCAATAGTTATGAGGTGAGCTGAGTTCAGCAGGGAAATGGACACCAGCACCAGCATTCCTGAGGTTGGCTTCAATTCAACCAATCAAGTGCAATTGTTGCTGAGATTGGAATTCGGAACATCCATTTCAAAGAGTCTTTCACAAGCGATTTGCTAGCTTGCAAAAGAAAATAAGCATGATACAAGCACACAGGACAGGACGACGCAAGAGCCTTCCTATGTGAACAAACCTACCTACCTACCACTCTCCACAACAAATACCACAACTGCATTCCTCTTAACACACCAGACCAGGCCAACTTATGGTGGATGGCATGTGTCCACTGATTCCAAGTGGATTACTACCGGTACTGATCATGTGACAGGTTCAGGGCTCAGGCCCCTAACTGGAGTTCAACCCCAGAGCCAGCTTCAGCCTGGTCACTAGCTCCTCCTTTCTCTCTCTGATCAGCAACCCCTTCTCCTTCAAACACGTCAGCCTCTCAACAGTCACCCCGTCCACAACCCCTTCTCCACTAATTAGAGTTCAACCCCAGAGCCAGCTTCAGCCTGGCAACCAACTCCTCCTTCCTCCCTCTGATCGACAAACCCTTCTCCTTCAAACACGCTCTCAACCTCTCAACAGTCAGCCCATCCACATCCCGCTCGCTCGTCATCCCCTTAAGAGTCCGCCCCGCTTCCCGATCCTGCTCCATTCCGCCACCGCCGCCGCTGCTCCCCACGCCCGGGCCGCGTTTCGCCGGTCTCCCGCCGGATCTAGTCGCACCAATCGCGTCGTCCTGACCGGGATCACCTGTGGCAGGCCTCTTGCCTTTATCTTGAAGTCCTGATTGCCGTGATCTGGTGT